GTGTGAGTGTATATATTATGCAGTGTGCGAGGAGGAGATAGTTTGTCTGCTGGTGTATGCATTACATGTATGTAATAATCATATCTTTCAATGTACATTTTAGGAAGTTTGTGAGTATGTATCTATAAGGCAGTTTGTGTGTGTGTGTGCGTGTGCGTGTGTTTTAGGCAAAGTGTGAGTTTGAGGCAGTTTGTGTATGTATTAGGCAAACTGTGAGTGTATGCATTAGGCAGTGTGTGTATATATGTATTAGAAAGAGTTTAGGGAATGAGGCAGTTTTTATATGTTGGTGTATGTATGTGTTCGGCAGTTTTGGTGTGTGTGTATTAGGCAGTTTGTGTGCATGTATGTATAAGGCACTTTCTGTTTGTGTATGTAATTGGCAGTGTATGTGTGTGTATGTATTAGGGAGTGTGTGTGTTTATATGTTTAAGGCAGCTTGCTTGTGGGTTTGTGTATGTATAAGGCAGTTTGCTAAGAGAAAGGAATACTCCACACACATAAAGTATCTCAGCTTGCTGAAGTGATTTATGTGTCTGCAGTTTGTAATTTTTTGACAGTTTATAAAAGGGATGATTTTAATAGAAATTGGACCTTTTATAATTGGGGTCAAAACACCTCCCTGTCTGTCATACAGCTAAGAAGGTTTTCTTCCACTTCCTTTAGCTACACAGAGCTAACAGAAGAGGCAGATGTGCCATACTAGCATGCACTCGCTTTTCCCCTGCTCCATGAGCTGAACTAGACCTCAATTGGAAACAAAGGAAAGCTGTGATTGTGTGTGCATGCGCACAACTGTGACTCCAAAACAGAGGCTTTTTAATAAGGAGCCTCTGATTGGAGGGCTTGCAGAAATAAAGCACATTTTCTTTGGCGTTATATCTGCTAAATTGCTGAAAGAAATCTGTGAATTGTTGAAAATAAATTTGTGACACGATGGAACTATTTCATGAGGGGGTGGCAAAATGGATCTTTGCATAGGGCTGCAGAATTCCTTGCACCAGCCCTACCAACAACCACTCAGATTGACCATGGAACTTTTGATTTATTTCTTTGCATTTTATGCATGATAATGTGTATGATGTACATTTCCAAATATGTAACAGTTTCACTAATTGTGGTTAAATATGTAATTTTGTGTGTTCTATGGAGTGTTTCAATCTTCAAGGTTGTATTGCAGAATATATAAAATTAAACTTTTACTATTTATGCTTCACACACTACATTCACAAACTGCAAACATGATTCTTACTGTGTATGCAAACCCACCCACATGAGCTAATTTTGCATTGCATGCTGAGGAGTAATTTATTTGGCACTAAACTTTAAAATTCTCTAAAACAGAAAATCTTACCGTATAAGTGGCATCTCTCCAACTCCCCCCCCACTGTTGGGCTGGGTTGGAAGAGTTAATACACTGGGCCTCACAGACACACACTCTTATCTTCTATATTCTTCTGAATACCCATATCCTACAGGGAGTGGAGACGGTCGGTCTCACTCCCCAGCGGCAGTATGTGTTACAGGGAGAGGAGCATATCGCCCTCTCTCCGGGGTGCTAGGTGGTCCGTCACAGCATTAAAGGACCACTATAGTGCCAGGAAAACATACTCATTTTCCTGGCACTATAGTGCCCTGAGGGTGCCCCCACCCTCAGGGTCCCCCTCTCGCCGGGCTCTGGGGGGAGGAAGGGGTTAAACTTACCTCTTTCTCCAGTGCCGGGCGGGGAGCTCTCTTCCTCCCCTCTGCCTCCTCTTCAGCTGAATGTGCATGCGCGGTAGGAGCCGCATGCGCATTCAGCCAGTTCATAGAAAAGCATTCTTAATGCTTTCCTATGGACGCTGGCGTCTTCAGCGCGGAAGCCCTCTAGCGGCTGTCAATGAGACAGCCACTAGAGGCTGGATTAACCCTCTTATAAACATAGCAGTTTCTCTGAAACTGCTATGTTTATAGAAAAAAGGGTTAAACCTAGCTGGACCAGGCACCCAGACCACCTCATTAAGCTGAAGTGGTCTGGGTGCCTATAGTGGTCCTTTAACACTGTGTTCAGTGTTTTGTTGTGTTTTTGATCCAGTTAGCCCAAACTACTTCTGGTATCCTGATCCTTGGTCTTGATTTATTATTCCCAGATTTTCTGAGATCCTGACCTCTTGGCTATTTTTAACTATATCATTTTGTTTACTTTTACCTTGCCACACTAGAGTTTCTTTATGTTGTGCCTGGCCAACATATTGTTTTCCAGACTTGTTAGGCTTAATCTGTTGTCATAGGATTGTGCTATTCCCATCCTTAGACTTTACTCACATTGAGTTTATTTATGGCACACACACTAGGTGTGCAGGCCTGATCTCCCTGATTTAAATATGGATCATCTCCATTCCTCAAACACATAGAAAGTCAAATATGAGGTTTTACAGTTGTCCTTCATCCTGAAAAAATCATAAGCTACCCTGGACAATATACATACTACAGTCATCCCTATCTCAGCAGATGGTTCTAGAACTCGAAATCTAAACATATTTTCAGCTCTTGCACAGGTCTCCACTACAGAGGATATACCTTGATTGTCATATACATGGAGGGTGGTCTTGATCTCATGGGTGACATTCTATCTTCTAACCTGTCTTGACTTAATAAGCATTCAAATCAGCATCTTGTCATGAGTGGTGTTTGAAGTGTGAGCACAGCTCCTGAGAATCAGGAGTCAACTAAATCAAGCATCCCAGATAAAATCATAGTGAGCTAGAAGTGTGTGGAGATGTGAAATGGTGTGGCTGTCTAAAATGGTCAGTAGCAGCTGAAAAATAATATACAAGAAGACAAGGTAAGTATGTGTTCGCCTAGATTTTAGAGTCTCATGTAGGATGGGCGTGCTTTGCAAAGACCCACAGATTTGTAAGTGGACCTCCACAGATAAACACTGTCATCATCAGTGGTCAGGGAGACTCATGTAGTTTCTGGTAGCATGGATTTAACTGATGATACCTATAGAAATGGAAGCAGGAGGGTAGTATGTAGTCTACAGAGTCTCTGATTCTTTAGAGTAACTGAGTGACCTTTGTGGATTTGAAGGAGAAATCACTTGAACAGGTTTTAGATTAGTCTGTTGAGGATCTCGCATCACTTGTGCAGCAGATCCTGAACAAAACATAGATGTAGCAGGTAACCTCCATATGGACATAAATATGGAGTAGGGTTGCCTTGGCACGCATCCTATTTTTTGGAAGAAGATGCCAGCAAGATCAAAAGAACCTTCAGTAGGCCCAAAATACAGAAACATTTGGAGTTACATATCGGGATCTAAAATATATCCTAAAATTTCAAACAGGCAGAGTAAGAATTAAGAAATTGCAGAACCAAATACAATTGAAATCAGCTTCACGAGCAGCAGTTACCTCACAAAGCCTTGATTCTTAAAGCAGAACTGTCACTTCTCTCCCTATTGCACCACTGAATTACATTTTGAAAAATCACCAATAATTGAAAAATGTGTTAACTGTTTTCATGTTATGCTTCACTTTCTTTTAAAATGTATATAACATTTTGCAATCCACTTCAGTCCAGGCACAGCCAGAGCCCAAAGTACAAATTAGCATGATAATAGAAATATTGTTTAATTTCTACTTGTCCACCATATTCAAAGGTAGAAAAGTGCATTGTTTATAATAATGACTGTGTAGAAGCCAAGATGGAGCTGCACAGTTCCAGGATAGATGTGTGGATTTCTACATGTAATTTTATTTCCAGACCTCAGAAAAACATTTCTGCTAGATATAGGTAATACGTAAGCATAATATTAAAAGTCCCGGGAAGTAACAGTTCCCCTATTAGACAGCTAACAAGGTCTGCCCCCCACACACATCTTTGACAATTTATACTTTTTTAAAATTACTTTTATTTTTTTAGCATCAATAATAGATGCAAAATGAAGCAATTATACTTTGTTTTTTTATTCCACTTTAGTTTTAATTTTTGTTATTAAAGGGACACTATAGTCACCAGAACAACTACAGCTTATTGAATTTGTTCTGGTGAGTAGAATCATTACCTTTAGGCTTTTTGCTGTAAACACTGTCTTTTCAGAGAAAATGCAGTGTTTACATTACAGCCTAGTGATAACTTCACTGGCAACTCCTCAGATAGCTGTTAGAGATCCTTCCTGGGTCATGGCTGCCTAAAATGTATCCAAACATTCAGTGTCTCCTCCTTCTGCATGCAGACACTGAACTTTCCTCATAGAGATTCATTGATTCAATTTATCTCTATGAAGAGATGCCAATTGGCCAGGGCTGTGTTTCAATTGTGCTGACTCTGCCCCTGATCTGCCTCCTTATCAGTCTCAGCCAATCCTATCTGGAAGCATTGTGATTGGATCAGGCTACCACTTCTGATGATGTCAGCAGACCGCTTGTTTTTTTGAGGAAAACAGCATGCAGAGTTACAGCTTCTGGCTTTCCTACATAAGATTTTGCTATTTTTAGGGAGGCATGAGGAGCCCAGGGGGGCTAGATGGTGGTTTTAACGCTATAGGTTCAGGAATACATGTTTGTGTTCCTGAACCTATAGTGATCCTTTAACAAATGGAATTAATCTGCCTTTCTAAATTTGGCATGCACTTTCAAGCAGGTTGAAACAATACTTTTTTCCATTGAGATATTCATTTCTTTTTCAAAGATTTCCTGTGCATAAACTCAAGGCTCATCCCAATATCTCATATTATATAGTATCAACATGCAACACTTTGTTGTATAAATTGCTACAAATCTTTCTGTACTGGACATAATCATATTTTAATGCATGATTCATATAGTGTATTAAAATGAGGGTCATCGTCAGCCTGTGATTTCTCTTAACTATTACAGTGGAGTCAGGGTATTCAGCAATTGCTATAATAAAAAACAAAAACACAATAAACAACAAATGTATTCTATGTTCTCTTCTATTACACCTGACGAATCAGTGAGAAAACATTGGTTATTCGCAATTAAAACACGAAACAGTTTTTACGAAAAGGATTTTAATAATATGGTTGGATATGTATCAACATGATGCAGTATAATTGATTTGCGTTGTTCAAGAACTTCTTTTTTTTTTATTTTTCCACACACCAGATCCCTCACTGACCTTTTCTTATAGCATTTTAACATATTAATGCAAAATGGACTTGACTCTCTTAACATCACATTGATATAAAATATCATTTTGTCTTTTCAAATAATTCATACGTAATAGTAACCAGAACTAAAGAACACTTTGGTGTGACCTTCTGAGTAAGGTAAAACCAGTGGAAGCAAATTATATATAAGCAATTCAGATAATGTCTGTTCCTTTTTGTGTGGTCCAAAATATTTCAAACATATGCTGTATATTTGTCTTTATGCTACTTGATCCATTTTGTGGTTTAGATACAATAACCTGTATTCCCTAACGTGCAGTCAGTTCAAGTTTTATTGGGTAATTAGCATATGATTAACTGCACTGCAATTAAATGATAATTTGCCTAAATAAGTATTATTTTACAACAAAGAATATGCAACACCTATTTCTTTGGAGAAAGCAGTATCACAGATTAGCAATATAAAGATTGCCTGTCACAGCTCTACGGGATGACTTGCCCAAATAATTAGCCATTGCTGTGGGACTAACACATTCAAATTCTGGAATTCTGTAGACAGGTCCAATTCTGTTCTAGACAAATACAAATATCTAGCCCACAGTTTATAGAGGTCTGCCAAGAAACATTTTAATGTCAAATTAAAATTATTTGATGCAACTAGTTATTCCATCTCTTACTTGGAATCCCAATTAATCTGTTTAGTCCTTATGGAATTCAAATACAGCAATTGCTCTCGTGTAAGCTATAGTATGTAAACTATAGTATGAATTTACTGTACTTTATAATCCTGCTTCTCCAAAAGACAAGTTACATTCTTATTTTTATTAAAAATAATTAGTTTTATTTTACTTTTGAAGCACCTAAGAGAATCCAGCTCCAACCCTAAAATATAATGATGCGTTAAGTTAAATTAGATAAATAATGCTTTACACTAGAAAAAATAACAACAATAAAAAAGCAAAGATTATATGTTTGTGTTTAAAATCGAAAGTGTTTAGAGTTTTTAAAATGAAATACCCTTATCTGTAAGCCACGTGTAAAAAAAGAAGAATCATATTGAACAGCAAAGACATACATCAACTGTTTGGGCTACATAAAAACTCAGTGATTAATGCGAAGAATGTTTTGCAGTGTTTAGAAAAAAAAACAATTATACAAGAACTAGGTGTTAGGCATCACTGAGATAACTGACCATATTTGCTTATTTGCAAAATAATAAAATTTACTTTATCTTGTAACGTACAAAAAAAAAAAAAAAGAGAACATTGTTTAGCTTATAGTTTGAACAACTGACATTATAACAATAATATAAGTAATTTACAATAAAATAAAGACGCACGTGTACCGTTCCTATAATTAAATGTTGCTTTGCAATGGCAGAAGGTATTTTTTCAGAATGAATTATGGCCCTTGATTTGTAATGCAGTTCCATTTATGAAATATCTTAAAGTGTAAGAGGACAACACCTCTTATTACATATTCTCCTGCACTTTTTAAATTTAACCTGGTAGTTTTACTTTTTGTGTACATTCATCCTTTTGAGCAGGCTTTTTACTGGTCATTGTTTTTTATTTTTTTTTCCTGCATTTCAGCTACAAAAAATGATTGAATGCATTCAGCCTTCAAAATGTTAGAAGGCTAGATAACAGGTAGAATAACTGGGTCATTTTGAGATGTTTGTAATGAGATCATGTCCGGATTATACAATACGTATGGGTAGAGTGACTTGGTCCAGCATGTCAAGGTTAATGCAAGATTAATTCTAGAATAGGAAAATGCATGATGTTTTGTCCAATGTTTCATTGCTTGGTACCTCATGAGTTTAGAGTCATGAGTAGTGCACTCCAAATGATTGTCCTCGGAATATCTAGTATTACATGATCAACACTGTCTTTCAAACCAAAATACTATATAAACTCTTTCTGTTACGGCAGCCACACTAGAAGGTTTCCATCCATACATGCCAAAAGTACATATATTATGCTGTGCTCTTGATGGATATCAATGATTTTCCTGAAATAAAGAAAAATACAGGTTAAAGTGACAGTCATGCTCATGAAAATCTATTTACTAGCATTTTAGTTTGCACTTGATCCACTTTGGTTATTATAACAAAAAGGAGCAGCTTTCACTTTATATATATTTTTTTGATATATATTTGAATTGAAACTGAGTATAATCAGTATGTATTGCAAAATGTTCTATAGTCCAGGTTTTAATAGATACCAATCTCTGCTACACAGTTGGCAACACTTACAAAATGCTGAAAAGGAATTTGACTATGTGGATTGGGAATATATGATAGCCACTTTGGAACGAATGGATTAATGGGGCCCTTTGCCAGCCTGTTTCCATCCATAATGGTACGAGACACGATTGCCCTTTACCCCTCTTTCTTGTAGGTCATTACATAACATGGTGGGATTATGATTTTTTTTATGGAAGGAGCAGATCTACAAGATAGTGGCTTATGCAGAACTTTGTTTTTCTTGGAGCAGCCTAGAACCTCCTTACCAAATATTTTGGATGCATACTCCAAATTCAAATGAAACATGAACAAATCAGAAATCTTAAAGGAACACTATAGGGTCAGGAATACCTGACCCTATAGTATTAAACTAACAATTTAGCCCCCTTGGACCAACCGTAAATCTAGTAAAACACACCTTATTTCCTTTTCCTTATTGCAGAATAGATATGTACTCACCTCTTGTTTATGCGTTATATCTTGTTGATGAATCCCATTGGCTGAACCTGAGTTACCAGTCACCTATTACAGAGAAATAACATTCAAATGAATGTTAAACACAATAGAGCTATTATCACTGTATGGTACACAATATTAGCATACTAATTTGTAATCCAGCACAACAGACAAAAACTTTAACTTGGAATCCATTCAAATTTTCAATACTAGAAGCATGACATGCTTATAAATTCATATTTTATGGTATGTTGCTGACCCCAACATAGAATGTTGTAATCTTCAGAAAACACCATATCCTTAAATAGATATAAACAACACACCGGCCTCTCTTTTTGAATAAACATTTAAAATTATTTTATAATTTTGGATAAACTCATAATCTTAGTGTTTTGAAAAAGTCATTTATAGCATATATAAAAATATAGCAATATATAAACAAATAATCAAAATAAAACAACCTTAAAATATTTAAAAAAAAATAATAAATCAGTTAAAATGTTTAACAAAAAATATTAAATCATTTGAAAAACTTGTCCAAAAATATTAAATCTAGGTCATTATTTGTAAGGCACCAGCTGGTAAGATAAACAACAATTGTGCATAAATATGTAGACCCATATAAACAGGGCTAGATAAACATACAAGCACAAAGTATTACGGAAGCTCAAAGTACTGCTACTCCAGACTGTTTATACATTGTTATGCATGTATTATGGCAGTATTGTAAGTTATAAGATAAATATCCTAATTTAAGCAACAAAATAACTATTCATACCTGCACTAATGAATAAACTACCCAACATTATTATTTTCCACTTTGAAAATCTATATGTTAATGATAACAATATTTAAATTCATAGGCTGCAATTCATATCATTTCAGCATTCCAAGAATGCCACCAAGTGGTTTTGGCAAAAATGCTAGTGTCCATGCTTACAATCTCACCCATTGAAGAATCTGACTCTTTCTTAATATGCCAAAGATACGGCCACTATTGCCGCTATGAAGTTTACATGGACCTATTGGCTGATAGCAGCTCAGTGTTTATGAAAAACTGATGTTAATTTTTACAAAACTGTGTGTCGATGAAGTTGACAGATCTTGTTTTTTCACCTTATCTTTTTTGTTTTATGAAGTATTTTGTTTAAGTTAAAGTCCAAGGTACGCGAATCTTAGTGATTAGGCCAAGCCTAAGGCTGCACTAAGGTTGTGGTAGCCCAGATTAGTCTATTACACAAGTCCTAATTAGGGGCTAGTCTGTTTAGCTGAAATTTTAAACACTATGAACCCTTAGGGTTTAGCAGCTTTCCCTACACATTTAATCAAATAAATAAACCTAATTTGATTTTCTTTGGCGGGTAGGGGTGTGGGCAATGGAATTATACCAAATAATCCCATTACTAATGTGGCCTGGCCTGAAGTAGGAGAAACTGTGCCTCAAAACAAATAAACCCACTTCACATTATTGGAGAATTATACCAAAGTGGACATGGGATGGGCAGTTGGTTTCCCATGCAAGTATTTGCCATATTCTAACCTACTGAACTTACTAAATTTGCTCAAAACATTAGTTTGGGCTGGCATTTTGACTTAACAGTGTGCTTCTAAAGAGGATTTTGGGATACTTTTCTAGCTAAAACACACAAAAAACTCAAAAAACAGGTTTATGTAGGTAAATATGTCAGTATATGAGGGTTTTTCTTATAATTGTGCCTCCAGTGAATAAACCCAAAGAGGATTTTGGAGTCACTTCCAAATAAAATACACAGCACCTGTGACCCGGGTGTGGTCTCCCACACAAATCCTATTCAGGGACAAGTCTGTTCAGCTTCTGAAATTTAGCAAGGCCTGGTAACTTCACACTGGTATGGTGTTACAGAAAAGCTTAGTGTCATGTGTCAGCAGATGATGGCTTACCTTAAATGTGTACTTTGAATAAATAATCCCCAAGAAGATTTTGAGACTCTCTTCCAAATAAACAATACAGCATCATCAATAGTCTACCACACAAGACTGTTTAGTTTGTTTAAACCTGTCAATACCAGGTCATTTCACATTGATATAATGTTCCATGAGGGATTGCTGTCTAAATAAACCTTATGGGGCTTTTTTGGAATTTTCCCATATAACATGAAATATTTAGGACCTGGGATGCCCAGATGGTGGTTTCCCACACGACACAATCATATCTTAGCCTGCTTAATCTTTACATCGAGAGGACATCAGTACATTGCACGCCTAAGCTTTGATTTAGGTTAAAATTGTGCCTCCAATAGATAAACCTAAGTAAGATGTTTGAGAAATTATACAGACTAAAATGAAACTGCCAGGACCTTGGACTCCTACCCAAGTATTAAATTGCCATTACAATGTATAACAAATTTTGCAGCACTGTACCATATGTATATAGCATAGCTTGCTTAGCTTTTGCAATGAGTATCACTGTGGGTTGTCACAAAATAAACTCAGTGAAGATTCTTGGAATATTATATTAAATAAAATAAAACCTAGAAATGAATGAAAATAATACAGCACTGACAATGTGGCTTTGCAACATTTCACAACAAATAACAGTTTATAGGCCCATCAAAATAATGAACCACTGTTGCACCCTCACTGACACAAAAAGGCTAAAGATGGCAGGATTCCACAAGAATATGAAACAAAATAAATATTCATATACACTATAAAGAAGAAGCTAAATCACAATATCTATTAAATTGCTTTGAGCAAGCAATGGGAATCTGAAAACCATGTGAGGAAAGTACTCCAGAAATTGTGCCATCATTATTGTATAGAGGCAGCTAAGCAGAACTGCTGCCATTAATGCCCCGGGGCAAACTATTGGTAATAAAAATAAATTATTTAGCTCTAAATACAAAACCATAAAGAAGAGCACATACAGCTGCATAATTCATGGAAACAATTACATTAAAAATGCTTTTTGTGCTAGTATAGAGTAGTAGCTACTTTACTTTGTGCTTTTGATTTATTATTATATCATGCAGTGAGTTCCTGGGAGAATAAATGCAAAGACAATTTGCTCCCCTCCTGGTACACGCTTAAAATTGGGTGATCAAAATGGTACCGATAAAAATGTGAGCATCATTACATTCACAGAAGTTCCATTTGAAAGAACGATATAGGTTAGAGCATACCCTGCCATAGCTTAGTTTGACTGGGTAGACTACCACCTAATTCCTGTGTTCTTTTTAAGGGTAAATGTAGGTTAGTACACATACATAAAAGAATCTTTAGCTTTTAACTCCCATATTTCTCAGTCAGACAAAATAGACAGGATCTTGGGTACCCACCCCACCTCTAGTGTCTGCTGTTTAGCATAGGGGATAATCTGTAGAGTTAAAGAAACACTACAGCGTTAGAAATACATGTCAATATTCCTAACTCTACAGTGCCCTTATCCCTTGTTCTATTAAAATGCTCCCCCTGTTACTTTTATGTTTCAGTAAGATATACAATGGTTGCTAATTATTTATTAGCACAATTTGTGCCATTTTAACTGTTGCCATTTAAAAAAAACATATTCTTTCAATTTTCTTATTGTGCATTTAAAGTGAAAAAAATTTTCAAAGCCGAAAAGTCTTTGTATCTAAATGTTACTTAGCGAAAACTGAAGTTTAAAAATAAAATGAACTAGCATTCTAGCCCACCATTAGATCATTAATGATCCACCTTGAAAAGTTTAACTGCAAAGTCAGTGAGAGGATGTATTTTCTACACACTTTGTGAAATTATGAATGCTGCCTGCACAGAATATACCTGTGACCTCTCTGTACTGTTTCTCATGGCCTCCATTAGTTTTTCCATTTGATGACCCTGATCCAGAGCAACACGGAGGGCATCTTCAGTGCTGACCAGACGATGCTGTAACCGTAGAACTTCTGACTCAGTGGAAGGGTCTATTAATGAATATCGCCTTTGATCTGATACAGCTTTTTCTTTATCCTACAATGACAGAAGGAAAGTATGTGTAAATATATCATATAAATGCAAACTTTAATTATTACATTAAATTAATTAAATGTGTAAATGTTTCAGGAAACATTTTTTTTAGCCGGAAAGGTGAAGATTTTGATCAGGTGAATTATCTGCAAAACTGAGCTTTTAAGGGGACAAAAATAGTAAACGTGCATATTTTTTCTATTTTAAACACAAACATGATTTAAAATAATTTTTTTGCTTACCAAAACCATTAGTTTTTCTCTTAATACTTTGATTTCATCTTTTAATTTCTGTTCTTTAGATCTCCAGTCTGCCTTATGAACCTCTCGGCTCAAGTCTTTTTCTGGACCAGGCGAATGTCGATTGGCTTCCAGGAGCAGTGCTCTCAATTCATTAAGACTCCTGAAATGCCAGGAAACACTCAGCACAAGAGCAAAGACAAAATCGGAAATACAATGCATATTGATGGATTCCAGAATTGATGCTATTGAAATTATTAATACCAGCATAGACTTCCCTAGCAATGAAAAGCTTAAAGTGACAAAATGAAATGTATGTTATGGGAGCACACTAAGAACCATAACCCCAACAGCATTGCAAAGTTGTTATGGCACTTCTAACATTTGGGTGTTAATACCCCATTTTCTGTCAAACATCTTAAGACTGGTTTTACAAAAATGGGCACCCCTTGGCCATTAAAGTCTGGTCTTTCTGGAACTGTTAGGGTAATGCAGAAAGATTCCTAAAAAGGACTATAGAAGCATATATTATTAATCTGTGTTACTTACCGCTCTTTCTTCAGTAAATCTTGGCTGATAATGACAAACTGCCCAGAGGAATCATGAGATTTTCTAGAGAAAGCTTCTAGCTCCGCTTCCAGTTTTTTATTGTCCTTCACTAAAGAATCTACTTTTTTGTCTCCAGACCGGCATTTGTTTTCTAGAGCTGCCAATACCAATAAAAATATATATATACATTACAATAATACTGTAGGATAATGTACTTTGTTGAATGGTAAGTAAATGATTTAGCTACTTACATGGATAACATGCAAATATCCACATAGAGTTATTAAAAAAAAAAAGATGATAAAAACATAACTAACACCCACAGGGCTATAAAAAGGAGATTGTAACTTTGTTTACGGCTTTCTAGTCTACAAGATGGTAAAAGATATTATTAAGAATTAAAACCTAAACAGCAATTTTCAAACAAGTGAAATTGCTAATTTCTTTGGAAAAGTTAGAGTTAATGGAAAGATGTGATATTATTAGGAGTCTCCTGTTACCTCAGTTGTTTATAAACAGTTAGATTTTGGGGAAAATAACAATTTAGCTTTATGAATAACATCATCATAAATAATGTACTTTATCAGATGATGATATTGAGAAGCAAAAAAGGATGTCATGAATGTGGATAGTTGAAGAATGTTTGATAGCTGAAAAAGAGATGCAGAATTAGGGAATTGAGCAGACGATATTGAGAGAAAATGTAGACAGAAGAAAAGGGGGACAGAGAAAAGATGCAAAACAACAATTAGGATTTATAGAGATCATGTTTAATATACACGGGATGTAGCAAGATAATGATATTGAGAAGTGTGGAGATTAGGACACTAAGAAAGCAGAAGAAACAAGGACATTAAAGAGATAAGGATTTACAAAGGTAAGAAGAAAGATAGATTATAGAATACAGCAGGAAAAAACCATGTAGAAAGAAATCATGTAGATTAGTAAGAGAAAGTTGTTTGTAAAAATGGAACAAGGGGAGAACGGTAAAACTGACAAGGTTTTTTTATCCACTAAAGTAAGAAGTCAAATTTCAAATTCAAGGTAAAAATATTTAAACTGGAAAAAATCCTCTACATCACCTATGCTTCCAGTTCTGCTTTTTTGGCCTTAAATATGAAAATTCACTTTGATTTATAACTATAGATAATAATCCTGATTGTCTTCCAGAATCTCCTTTGGATTTCAATCTTTGACCTCATACAAAAGACCACTGGGAAGACACACTCTCTATAAAATAATCAATAAAACAGGCTTCTTTATATCCATTATTTGAATTTTTTTATTTAAACACATATATTTACTTTAAACTGTTCTCTAATTACAAGTTAGGTGTGAAATTGTATTATATTTTTATTATTTTACTCAAGGCCCCTATGCAAGGCCAAATTGTCTGCCTTGAATTAGCTTGTTAAGTGTTTCATAAACTTTCTTTCTAAACATCTGGTTACTAGTGCAAAAAATGGCAATATCTACCTCAGGTTTTATATTCATATTTTTTAAGTAAAGTTTTCACGGTAATTTCTCTGGGTGCAGACTGTAATGTAATTTGTTGGGTAAGTCTATGTTGGTATCATGTAATGTCAAGGGAGCAGAATGGACAACAAGTAGAATAAGGCATATAGAGAGGAGGGAAAAAAATAAAAATAGAGAGAACAGAGGTGATTGAAGAGGAAATATAATAAATAACTTTAGGAAGAGGCAATTGAAGAGTAATTTGAATATAAAAAACCCAAGTAGCAGCTTTGAGAAGATTTATTTTAAGAATTACCGGTTACTTGAGCCCTAAGTCCTTCGATGTGGGAAGACATGGATGAAACTTCTTTATCTCGTTTGGTAAGCTTCGACTGCAAATCTGGATGGGGAAAATGAGAGAAAGAAAAATATGAGCTTTCTTATCTTTTTACTTAGTAAGTCTCAGAATCACTCATACTCTATTGCCTTGAACTAATTTATGAAGGAAGATAGAGTCTGATCCAGGTAAATAGTTTGTTAATGTAAAAGGTGCATGAACAGTTCTAATGGTACAGAGTTTACTCCCTCAAATAAATAAAAGTTTTAAGACTCTACATTGGACTTGTGCTTTCGGTTTGGTTTCAAACGAATTGCGATTCATTCATATTTTGGGTGACTAGCAACAAATGTGAAATGAATGAGCCGTTTAATTTATTTTGTGATTTGGAGTTCCATATGCGGCACCAAAAAAAAGATGATTGTTGGTTAGGGGACTGCTCCTTCTTTTTTCCCCTTTATTGGTTATTCTTTTCAGAGGCATATCTACTGAAGATAGCACGTATGGCAAGTACAGAAATTGTGCCTCTCACAGACAAACATCTGACACCCATTTTAGATAACTTCGCATAAAATCAGCTAACGAATTCAAGATGTATGTAAAGTGTGTGTGTATGTGGTGTATGCTGGCAGTATGTAAGGTTTGTGTGCTGGCTGTATGTAATGTATGTGGGTACTGGCTGTATGTGATGTGTGTGGTTGTGCTCTGTGTCGCCCTCTCCTGTTTGTCTTTCTTCCTGGTGGTCCAGTGGATGGGTTCTAAATCCCTTAAGGTCCAGAGGGGGAGTGTGAGATTTGGACCACTGGCGCATGCAGACCTCAGTAATAGCTCGTCAAACTTCTGCACTCAGCAAGTCAGAATGCAAATTGGGAACATCAGGTGGCTGCACTCTGATTTACTAGAGAGCACCTAATTGCAAGGAAGTCATTATTCAGGTCTGCACCTGGCAGAGGTGAAAATTTAATGCTGTCAGCTCTGATCCACCCCTCCCCCCACTGCTCAGTGGCACCAGAGCCAGATTAAGGTTGGCCAGAGAACCAGATTGGAGCCCCCTTCTAGAGTCCTGGGCTCTGTGTCTGTGAGCGTTGTGAGAATGTGTGCAATGGCTGAGTGTTGTGTACCTGTGTATATGCCTGAATATGTGTGTGTGTGAATGTGTGCCTTTGTTTCAGTGTGTATGTGTATATATGTGTCTGGGAGTGTATGTGTGTAGAGTTATTGCTTGTGCTGTGTTGTTTGTAAGGGGAGCTGCTTGTAGTTTGTGTGTGTTGTGTTTATGGTCAGGCTGTGTTTTAATGTGTGGGAGACAGAGACAGATTTTGGGGTGAGTGTGACAGCTGGGGAGGTGAGTAGGACAGGGTTGGGGGGGTGAGTGAGTGTGATAGGTTTGAGTGTGGGTGACTGTGACAGTGTTAGGGGGTGAATTTGACAGGTTGAAGGGGATTTGCCTGATCAGAGCCAGAGCTCCATCCGACTCTGCTGTGGCTTCCCTTTCAAGTGGCACCTATGACATGTGTCATGCTTGTCAAACCCTATGTATGCCATTGGTTTGTTCTCACTTGATCTGTGAACCGAATGAAATGCAAATGCTACTAAAATGTCCTGCAAAATATGCATTTTTGCACCATTTTGGTTTGTCTGAATCATTTTTACCCATAATGATCACATATACGATACGCGTCCAAACTTAAAAGCCACATGGACAAAACTTAATTTGGCAAAAACTATTTTTTCTCTCCTATGAATTTAACTGGACAAGCATTTTTTGGCCCCTACATACATTGGCTCTAAACTACATATGTTCAATCTACCAACGGAAAAATATATATTCTTATAAGGTATATTATACATACCATGCACGCAGAAGGAGAAAAATGGAACGGACACAAGGTTTTTAGCATTATGTTTATGTATCCACTATATTTAACAAATGCATATTTTGTGGTGTGAGAATTTCTTTTAAATGTTCAAATTAAATGTACTTTGTTAGCTCCCTGTCAAGAATTATTCAGTCCTTTGAACAGGGCACTCAGTATAAAGAAAGCATAGAGTGCAATGGGAAAAAGAAACAATATTTCTGGTTTCCACTTCACTACCAATATTAGCCCTGGCTTTGATTGTTTGATTGTCTGCTTTGGGATGGAATTTGCTAAATCTTTAAAAACAAAGTGGAAAGAAAACAGGACACTTCATGGAAAAAGGTTAACATCAGTCATTTGTGTTATACTTACACACAAGAAATACAGCGGAAATGGTAAATTAAACCCCACTTCCACATTATGTTGAGTAAGCATTTTATGTTTAAAACACACTACTTCTTTTCCCCCTAAAACATTTATCATTTTCAGTTAGACATAGAAGGATGGCGGATGTTGGGGTAGCATAACCGAACAGCTTAGCAAATATTAGCATAGAGAAAATAAAATGAAGTATCAAACAATTATTATATATGTACATTATATGTAGCAGAGTTGGTTTCAAACACAATCTACCAAAAAAAGGAAAAAACAATATTTAACAATTGTTAGATTTATGTCGTTTTGTGGGAATTTTGTGTACTGTGTAAGTATTGGGTATTAAAAGTTAGGAAAAATATACACAGTGGAGACTTGTGGGGGCAGGTTTTTGTTGACATACAAAAAAAAAACCCCATAATATAAATATAAACAAGATCCTTAGTATCCTGTTTGATGGTCAGTAGGTTAGACAAATTAAATCCATTAACAGTTAAGGGACACACCACTGCCTACATAACAATCAATATTTATCAGACATACCCCCGATGAAAACAAGTATGCATTTAATTATGTATTGCTTTCATTGGGGTAAATCTAAAAACAGCTTGCAGAAGCTGCAGGTCTCTTGTCTGAAGCCTTTGCAAGCTCTACCTCCTTCGCCCCACACTTTCTGTGGCTGTCCAATCATAGACTTCCCAATGCAGCTCAATGAGAAGTCTTTGCGAGGCAGGTGCTCTGGGCAATTGCTGCCTCTTGAGTGTAGTTCAACTGAGCTAACCAAACTAGGAAGTAACAAGATCCGGGGGGAGGGGATGGGGTGTAACAAGGTTCAACTATAAAAGTGTCACTTTATATTGAAATCTGCACTTTTTGCAAAATCAAAAAGGAGGACACACTCTTCAGACATAAAGCATTTCAGGAACTGAAGAGCTTTAGGGGTCTAGAGTGTCCCTTTAATATGAACGAATAACAATTAGGGAGACTTGTGTGCACAGACCCTAATCACTGTGTTTAAAGTAATAGGCATTGCATGCATTGTGATAAGGCTGTCTGCACCTCTGTTTAATGCAATGGGGACAAAGGTAATTCCCAAGATAATAAGCACAGTGATTAAATAGACATTGACTCAGCCTATTCACCATACACGTTCTGCCCAAGTGTGGTGAAGTATAGCTACCAGCCATCTAAAAAGTTCCAGGATTTCTACAGGATCTTACAGGATTTCTACCAAACCTATGAATTGAAACAATTAAAATACGAATTGCAAAAATTTAGGCAAAAATAGCTCATCTGAAAAAATATTCAAACTGATTATATTTACAGCTTGGTTACAGTTAAATTAAAATAACTATCAGACTAACTTTGTAAAGCAAAGTGTAAATAGCAGTATTTTAACTTCTATAAATAAAATCAAGTTGCTGTTTCTATTTGCTAGCTATACCTGTACTGTAAGATCTAATTGACAATTAAACCATTTTGTTCATGTAGGCTGCCCTCTGTAACTTTAATAGACTTAATAGACCAATAGATCAAAAAAACTGATGTAATTAATTTTATCACATGACAGGAGGCTTCATATTTACATAACATTTCAGAAAACATTTCAACATTACACAAAAGGCCCTGTCAGACTTGTCACTTCCTCTTTTTCTTTGCTGCTCCAGGCAAGCACAGTTCAGATTATTTTGTCCTCATGATTTCTTCTTTATATTGCTTATATAATAAGCTATTTGCTGATTTCTGAATACTAATGTACTTATTCTGCTGCCCCCACTACTCTCAGACCTACATGTACTTAGTTTTTCTAACTATTTCTAATTTCACCACCCGAGGCCTACTCTCCCCCTTCTTGCACTAGAGCCAGGGTCTGTCCTGCACGGCCGGTGAATGCCGCGATCACGCTTCCATTTTTGCCTTTCCTACCTCTTGGGGATTCTTGTGGAAATGTGTAGGGGTGGTGGAGGTGCACAACGCTATCTGCTCACTTGCCGGCGGGCCCACAAAGCTGCGGACCTCGACGACTATTGCACGTGCGGCGGCCATCTTTGGTTTTGCGAGTGCCGCGAGATTCACGACGGCTATTTTCTGTCTATTTCCAGATCGGTATTACTTCGATCTGGACCAAATTCTTATATAATTACCTGCTAAAAAGCTGCACTTCTAGCTCCACATCTGTCTACTGTACCATCTGCTGCATGTATGCCAATACCATACAAAGCTCAGAGTGCTTAATATTAAAGAGGAAATGTGACATACACTGATATGTGATTAATATCTGAGGCTAAAAGCCTTGCTTCTTAAGCCATATTTACTGTGACAGTTCTGATTATACCAGTTGCCATATGTGGGTGTCCTCTGTTGTACAAGGCGCACCACCTGGGGTGAGCCCCCAGATATCATGTCAGGTGTTCTGCTTGCTCTCTATAGAGGTGTACCCCCTTTCTTTTCATGGTACCTGGACATATATATATCGAATTATACAGAACTATTACACTTTACACCGGTTATATTCACTGACCACAGAGGTACAGCTTTGATGTACTAATGTGGTGAGCCTCCTTGACCGTATACATCACAATTGGCAACGCCTATGAGGGTGAGACCCTCCTTGATACCACCCCAGACAGGGGAATTTTGGGGTCATCCCCACAATTATGACACTTCCACGTCTCCCATTTCACTTAAGGGAATCCCCTTTTCGTACACCTAGAGGATGAGTACCTCTTATTTGGCACTAAACTCTGATAGACGGCTATACTGTACAGCCGGTTCCTGGGTGAACCCCAGTTATGCAAGGAGTCTGGCACTTTGCGCGTGTCTCTGCTTATCCTGCACCCACTGATTGTCACTGTTCTTTACAGGACAGACCAAGACACCATGGGCGACACCCCCCCTCCAAGGCATAATTTTCAGGCAACGATTAATGCTGCAGTCACGGACTCAGTTAAAATGGCCCTACTACGAGTCCTACCCCATACACAAGAGGCGGGGTCACAAGAGCCTAATACCACCCAAGGATCTGACACTGCTTTAGCAGACCCTGCAGGGATGTCCCCCTTCTGTTGTCATGGTACCTTAACTATTTAATATATCTAATACTTCATGAAGACCATTGAATTCATACATATTGTGCCAAATGTTTCTGTTAACATAGTGGGTGTCCTCTGTTACACAAGACACACCACCCGGAGTGAACATCCAGATACCATATGACTCTAGGGAGCCAGAGAGGGCTTTAGCACCACTAGAGGGGTTCCAGTTCCCCAACGAGAACCAAGACTAAGCACAAGGCTCCCTTGAAAACACCCAAGTGCTTTAAACAGGTGGATCCAGCTTGCCCTCAAACCTGGTCCTCAGATGACAAGGACTCTTGTCCGCCTCATGCTCTGCTTTGCAGTCCTGGGGCTGCTATTTTGCCTGTGAGCCACCATTCAGCTCAAGAACTAGCCAGAAGTCTACCTTGCCTTGTATCCAGCACTGGGGGCTGGACGTTATTCTGTGGCTGCTCCTTCATTCTCAAGCACATCTGAAGCTGATGGCCTCATTAACCAGGTATAAGACACTGCCTCTCCCAGAGGGCAGTGTCAGTTCATTGACTCTGGTTCAAGTATTGCTGTTTCGTGTTCTCCTGTTGATTCCTGACCTTGGCTTGTTATTTTGTGTACCCTGACTTCTGGCATTCTCTGACCTCAGCTTTCTTCTCATTGATCCTGATTTCTGGCACCCTCTGATCTCTGGCTTACCCGCAACGATTCTCCTGCTTTATCCGTTCCTGTACTGCGACTTGGAACTTCATCCTGCACAGCCCCCGTGCACCGACTCACAGACCAGGTGAATTCTTACCTGACCACCTCGGCCTGTGTTTACTTGCAAGGGCAAGAGCATATACCTCTGCCTGACGGACTCCCAACTCAGGTAAGCCCTGATACCAAATATGTGATTCAAACCGTGCCGTGCTACAATTAGCCAGAAAAGATACCCGTACACCTCCACCCAAGACCACGGGGATGGGGTTTTTCTGGATGTGCTGGGTGTACCACTGTTAAAACGACCTGTGCACTATAAGACACCCTGGATCGTCCGAATGAATCCTGCCAGACCACCTGGCCCA